CTTAAACCACACGACATTTTTACCAGGGTTCTTGATGCTTGTGTTACTGCAAGACAGGTATAACATGTCAAGTCATTTCCTATTCTTGATTATTTTCGGTTACCAAAGCCGATGGCCACTAATACTGACTTTCTTCACAAGAGCATCTATTGAGAAAAGCCGGGTGTCCCGTGGCTCTGTTGTCAACGCTCTTAGCTCACATTCTGAGTGTCCGTGGCTCTATCCCCGGCACTGATGGAAACGTTGGGCATGTTTCCTTACACCTGCTGACCCTGTTCACATGGCAGTAAGTAGGTTCCTGAGTGTGAGTCGGCTGTTCTGGGTCGCATCCCGGAAGAATGGTAGTATATAACACATAAGTCTGGGCTCTGAAATGAGCTGAGGTTGGATAATAGCTCCTAGCCTGCAAAAGTGATGTGTGTAAAAATGTAAATACAGTGTTATGTATTAGAGCAAACAAGACGTCGTCTTGGGTGCTATTTGTGTAGCAGCCTCCACTGTAGATTGCAGCCAAGTATCATATTCTGCATATAGGGAAGATCTCAATCTGTTCTGTTGTTCGTGCAGTCAGACGAGCAGGAGAACGCAATAACCCACTCAAAATTGTTAGGGGATATACAGGAATAACATGTTGGGATGAATGGGTTATTGATCTAAATGAAAACCCCGTTTTTAAGACAATGAATGGAAACGAAAAGCTCAAGAGAAAGTTACCTATCTTCAGAAATACGGAGAATAGGAGATAAACATTCCTCCATATATATATATAATATATATATATATAATATATATATATATATATATAATATATATATATATATATGCAATAAGATCACAGTAAACAGGTGATTTCAAAATATGCAAAACAACCACTCTGAAAGAATAGAGAAATTCCAAGCGCTTTCGTGACTACTCACATTATCAAGGAACTGATAATGTGAGTAGTCACGAAAGCGCTTGGAATTTCTCTATTCTTTCAGAGTGGTGTTTTGCATATATATATATATATATATATATATATATATATAATATATATATATATATTATATATATATAATATATATGTGTGTTAATGCCCATGTAATAGTTACTCCAGGACTGTTGGAACGAAACTCCTAACTGCCCTACTATGCATACAGTGGAATAGTTTCCTCGTTTACATGGTCATGAAGCAGTCATGGTGGAAAAAATCAGGGCATTTATGTTCCTTTAAGAAACAGAATGTACGGCACGTAAGGGCAACTTGTTGAACATTTACTGTTGTGTTGAGAAGAATTACCTGACAGATATGTGAATAAAGAGGTTCGGTATCTTTTCTCTTGTTGTGTGACGCCGAAGAGCTCAGTCCATTGTTGTAACTTTAATCATATTAATGCAATAATTATTTTTCAGGATGAAGATAGCAGCTGATTCGTTTACTATACAACATATTCAGGGAAAAATTCCAAAATAGCCTCAGCTTTTGTATTTCGTGTATTTTACGGAAGAAAACATCAAAGAATCTCGCTTTTTTGCATTTTTAAAAACACCTTTTTCATCTAGTGGAATTCTGAAAAGAACATCAATATATATATATATATATATATATATATATATATATATATATATATTATATATATATATATATATATATATATAATATATATATATATATAATATATATATACTTTTATTATTATCACACTGGCCGATTCCCACCAAGGCAGGGTGGCCCGAAAAAGAAAAACTTTCACCATCATTCACTCCATCACTGTCTTGCCAGAAGGGTGCTTTACACTTCAGTTTTTAAACTGCAACATTAACACCCCTCCTTCAGAGTGCAGGCACTGTACTTCCCATCTCCAGGACTCAAGTCCGGCCTGCCGGTTTCCCTGAACCCCTTCATAAATGTTACTTTGCTCACACTCCAACAGCACGTCAAGTATCAAAAACAATTTGTCTCCATTCACCACCTCCGCACCTCCTCCTCCTAACTTCCAAACTACGAATTCTCTGCATTATATTCACACCACACATTGCTCTCAGACATCACATCTCCACTGCCTCCAGCCTTCTCCTCGCTGCAACATTCATCACCCACGCTTCACACCCATATAAGAGCGTTGGTAAAACTATACTCTCATACATTTCCCTCTTTGCCTCAATGGACAAAGTTCTTTGTCTCCACAGACTCCTAAGTGCACCACTCACCCTTTTCCCCTCATCAATTCTATGATTCACCTCATCTTTCATAGACCCATCCGCTGACACGTCCACTCCCAAATATCTGAATACATTCACCTCCTCCATACTCTCTCCCTCCAATCTGATATCCAATCTTTCATCACCTAATCTTTTTGCTATCCTCATTACCTTACTCTTTCCTGTATTCACTTTTAATGTTCTTCTTTTGCACACCCTACCAAATTCATCCACCAATCTCTGCAGCTTCTCTTCAGAATCTCCCAAGAGCACAGTGTCATCAGCAAAGAGCAACTGTGACAACTCCCACTTTATGTGTGATTCTTTATCTTTTAACTCCACGCCTCTTCCCAAGACCCTCGCATTTACTTCTCTTACAACCCCATCTATAAATATATTAAACAACCACGGTGACATCACACATCCTTGTCTAAGGCCTACTTTTACTGGGAAATAATTTCCCTCTTTCCTACATACTTTAACTTGAGCCTCACTATCCTCGTAAAAACTCTTCACTGCTTTCAATAACCTACCTCCTACAACATACACATGCAACATCTGCCACATTGCCCCCCTATCCACCCTGTCATACGCCTTTTCCAAATCCATAAATGCCACAAAGACCTCTTTAGCCTTATCTAAATACTGTTCACTTATATGTTTCACTGTAAACACCTGGTCCACACATCCCCTACCTTTCCTGAAGCCTCCTTGTTCATCTGCTATCCTATTCTCCGTCTTACTCTTAATTCTTTCAATAATAACTCTACCATACACTTTACCAGGTATACTCAACAGACTTATCCTTCTATAATTTTTGCACTCTCTTTTGTCCCCTTTGCCTTTATACAAAGGAACTATGCATGCTCTCTGTCAATCCCTAGGTACCTTACCCTCTTCCATACATTTATTAAATAATTGCACCAACCACTCCAAAACTATATCCCCACCTGCTTTTAACATTTCTATCTTTATCCCATCAATCCCGGCTGCCTTACCCCTTTTCATTTTACCTACTGGCTCACGAACTTCCCCCACACTCACAACTGGCTCTTCCTCACTCCAACAAGATGTAATTCCTCCTTGCCCTATACACGAAATCACAGCTTCCCTATCTTCATCAACATTTAACAATTCCTCAAAATATTCCCTCCATCTTCCCAAAACCTCTAACTCTCCATTTAATAACTCTTCTCTCCTATTTTTAACTGACAAATCCATTTGTTCTCTAGGCTTCCTTAACTTGTTAATCTCACTACAAAACTTTTTCTTATTTTCAACAAAATTTGTTGATAACATCTCACCCACTCTCTCATTTGCTCTCTTTTTACATTGCTTCACCACTCTCTTAACCTCTCTCTTTTTCGCCATATACTCTTCCCTCCTTGCATCACTTCTACTTTGTAAAAACTTCTCATATGCTAACTTTTTCTCCATTACTACTCTCTTTACAACCTCATTCCACCAATCGCTCCTCTTCTCTCCCGCACCCACTTTCCTGTAACCACAAACTTCTGCTGAACACTCTAACACTACATTTTTAAACCTACCCCATACCTCTTCGACCCCATTGCCTATGTTCTCATTAGCCCATCTATCCTCCAATAGCTGTTTATATCTTACCCTAACTGCCTCCTCTTTTAGTTTATAAACCTTCACCTCTCTCTTCCCTGATGCTTCTATTCTCCTTGTATCCCATCTTCCTTTTACTCTCAGTGTAGCTACAACTAGAAAGTGATCTGATATATCTGTGGTCCCTCTATAAACATGTACATCCTGAAGTCTACTCAACAGTCTTTTATCTACCAATACATAATCCAACAAACTACTGTCATTTCGCCCTACATCATATCTTGTATACTTATTTATCCTGTTTTCTTAAAATATGTATTACCTATAACTAAACCCCTTTCTATACAAAGTTCAATCAAAGGGCTCCCATTATCATTTACACCTGGCATCCCAAACTTACCTACCACACCCTCTCTAAAAGTTTCTCCTACTTTAGCGTTCAGGTCCCCTACCACAATTACTCTCTTACTTGGTTCAAAGGCTCCTATACATTGATTTAACATCTCCCAAAATCTCTCTCTCTCTCCTGTACATTCCTCTCTTCTCTAGGTGCATACACGCTTATTATGACCCACTTTTCGCATACAACCTTTACCTTAATCCACACACACACACACACACACACACACACACACACACACACACACACACACACACACACACACACACACACACACACACACACACACACACACACACACACACACACACACACAATATATATATATATATATATATATATATATATATATATATATATATATATATATATATATATATAATTTTTTTTTAACACACTGGCCGATTCCCACCAAGGCAGGATGGCCCAAAAAAGAAAAACTTTCACCATCATTCACTCCATCACTGTCTTGCGAGAAGGTTGCTTTACACTACAGTTTTTAAACTGCAACATTAACACCCCTTCTTATATATAAATATATATATATATATATATTATATATATATATATATATATATATATATATATATATATATATATATATATATATATATATATATATATATATATATATATATATATATATATATATATATATATATATATATTTTGATGTTCTTTTCAGAATTCCACTAGATGAAAAAGGTGTTTCTCCTATATAGTTAGAACTAAAATTTGTAGAATGATGAGAATTATCATCCAGGAGTCTCGTCAAATCTACGAAAATCATTTTATACCAGATACAGTGTCTTGGTGACTGAGTTTCAAGATGACAGAGAGTACTTACCTTGATGATGGTGGCAGGAAGATGTCTGTCATCTTCCTCGACGACCGTCACCTGGATGTCGCTCTCCAGGAAGTGTGGAGGATTGTCGTTGACATCAGCGACCGTTACTTGTACGATGGAGTGTACTGTGCGACCTGCTGCCTCAGCTGCCACCACCAGCTCATGCTGAGGACATAACATAGTGTTTATGATGACTACTGCCTCAGCTGCCGCACCATCAGCTAATGCTGAGGACACAACATAGTGTTTATGATGACTGCTGCCTCAGCTGCCACACCATCACCTAATGCTGAGGACACAACATAGTGTTTATGATGACTGCTGACTAAGCTGCCACCAACAGCTCATGATGAGGACACAACTTAGCGTTTATGATGACTGCTGCCTCAGCTGGCAACACTAACCTGTGCTGACAACACAATATATATTTATTAGTGATGACTGCCACGTCTGCAAAACGCAACGTTTTTAAAACCTGTGTCTACGTTTTTCCGATTTGCTACACGTTAGTTTACTACTTGTTTTCATCAGCACTGGAGGTTTAAGAAATGAAATATATTTTTTCCAGTGTATATACTCTGAGTGGTTAATCCCTCAAAATATGCAGGTATATATCTGAGTGATGTGTGGAAATAGACTTTCTTTCAAGGCATATATGCTTTTGAAAAAATGAAAAAATACAGAAATAATGTTCTTTTACTGAACCAGGTTCGTGCTAGAACCTGGACATCCAACAGGCTTGTGTGAGTTTGTTATACAGGAGTGAGTGAAGGAAAATGGGTTTTATGATTTAATGTGCTGTTGGAGTGCGAACAAGGTAAGCTTTTTGAAGGAATGAATGAACGTACTGGTACAACCCTGGCTATCCATATGTCAAACAAATGAACGAAACTGATATGCTTGAGAAACTGTTCTTGCACAAGCTGACTGTCGGTACATGTATCTGGTAGTTATTATCTAAATATTATTAAACTTAATAAAATAAACTGTTGCAATTTTTAATAGGTACGCTAGGATTGCGTGAGATTAAGTCAGGAAGGATTCGCCTATGGCTATTTGCAGTATAACTCACAATGCAACTTCTCGAGAACTGCATCATTGAGTTTTTCCATGCACTAACTATACGATAATAGCAGATAATATTTCCTCGAGAGAGTTGCTGACAGTCTTTCTATTTGGTGAGGACTGAAAAGCCTTCGGTTATTTACTTATATCTTGTATTCATATATACTTTGCACGAGATTGCAGATTTCTTTACATAAAATAAGATTATTTAATAAATGTTTAAGTGAGTCGGTAAAATATCTTTAAATATGCTTTTATGGCCCATAATTATTATAATCCGCTAAAGTATAATACGTTTATATGTATCGATATTTATACATCAATGTCAGGGAAAACTATACAAATGTTTTTCGCATTCTTATCTAAATCTAACACCACACCGGCTTTAACCTACATTTTATTTTTTCAAAAACTGCCAAAATGAGGTTTACAAGGATGGAAATTTATACGGCATAAACCAAATTTGGAATAAAACAAACTTTACCACATTAAATATTTATAAGTATGTAAATATTCTCTTGTGGAGTATATAGAGTGTAACTTAAAGTGAAGTGACAAGGTAAATTCCTCTTGTTATTGTTGAATATAGAATTTAGTGGTGGGATATATGTGGCAGTGATAACGGTGAAGGCAGATGTGGTGGTTATATTGCGTATACTATTGCCATAACGCCTGTATAACGCGGATATTGCGGTGTATAAATAACATCCGCTGCGGGTGAAAATTGCTTGCGTATTCTATACAATGATAAAGATGGTAATACAAATTCCTTCTCAGTTTTTTTTTTATTACAGGTTTAATAGATTTTCTCGATATTAATTTGTTTTAGTGTTTTTTCCGGTAAAATTGTTAATGAGTTGCATTTTATAACTATTATTTACTATTTATTTCCAGAGGGAAGAAAGTACTGTAATTCAAGAATTTAACTCTTAAGTATTCAGATCAGTAGACTGTTGTTAATTCTAAGTCTGACTACATTAGATATTCAGCTGAGGAAGTCGGAGATTTATTAAGTTATTAAAGAGAATCTTTCCTATTTGTGGCCTGATGAAGATACTATATTCGAGCTGAAATCGACTGAAAGACGATGCCTTATTTAACTTACTCCGAGTGATTGAGAGAAAAAAAAAAAGCGGAAAAATCTACGGGAAAGAGATGCCACGTTTAACTTACTTGAACAAGACAGAAAAATCTACGGGACCCAGATGCCACATTTTACTTACTAGATCCCAGGTATAAAATCTACGGATATGAGACGCCATATTTAACTTACCTAAGCCAGTGTAAAAATCTACGGGACCCAGACACCACATTTAACTTACCAGAGCCCCCATATAAAAATCTACGGGAAGGAGACGCCATGTTTAACTTACCTAAACCGGTGTAAAAATCTACGGGAAGCAGACGCCGCGTTTAACTTAGAGGAATACATGTAACATGTATTACATACCTGGAGTTTACCTGGAGTTTACCTGGAGAGAGTTCCGGGGGTCAACGCCCCCGCGGCCCAGTCTGTGACCAGGCTTCATGGTGGATCAGGGCCTGATTAACCAGGGTGTTACTGCTGGTTGCACGCAATCCAACGTACAAACTACAGCCCAGAATCTCAGGTACCGACTTTAGGTGCTTGTCTAATACCTGCTTGAAGACAGCGAGGGGTCTTTTGGTAATCCCCCTTATGTATGCTGGGAGGCAGTTGAATAGTCTTGGGCCCTTGACACTTATTGTGTTGTCTCTTAATGTGCTAGTGGCACCTCTGCTTTTCTTTGAGGGGATATTGCATCGTCTGCCGAGTCTTTTGCTTTCGTAGGGAGTGATTTTCGTGTGCAAGTTTGGTACCAGTCCCTCTAGAATTTTCCAGGTGAATATAATCATGTATCTCTCCCGCCTGCATTCCAGGGAGTACAGGTTCAGGAACTTCAAGTGCTCCCAGTAACTGAGGTGTTTTATCTCAGTTATGCGTGCCATGAATGCTCTCTCTACATTTTCTAGGTGCTAACACGTGTAGAGTATTCAACGCAAGGAGTAGCGGAGGCGCCATCCACGACCGATAATTGCTAGGCGGACGCGCTACTCTTTCAGCCTGTCAGGCTACGGGAAGAACCGCTACTTGGTAGAGATATATTTTATGGGATTGAAGATCTACAGAAAATGTCACATTATACTTAACATGAGCAGACGCCACTCCCACGGAAGAACTTTATATCAACTTGGTCTTGCAACAAGCATTGGCCTGAGTGCTGAGTAAAGGGTCGTAGTGAAGACAGACGCTGTTCTCCCTCAGAGACCAACGAAGCGAGGGGGAGGGAAAGGCAGCCGGTTAGAGGGAGGGGTGGGGGAGGTAGAAACACTCGTTACCTTGGGGTTAACGAAGGCGTGAGGAGTCAAATCATTACCTTAGGATTAATGAGGACGTGAGGAGTCAACTGTTACCTTTGGGTTAACGAGGGGGTGAGGAGTTAACTTGTTGCCTTGGGGTTAACGAGGGGGTGAGGAGTCAGCTCATTGCCTTGGAGTTAACGAGGGGGTGAGGAGTCAACTCATTACCTTTGGGGTTAACGAGAGGGTGGGGAGTCAACTCGTTACCTTGGAGGGTAAAGAGGGAGCGAGGAATCAACTCGTTACCTTAGGGTTAACGAAGGGGTGTGGAGTCAATTCGTTACCTTGGGGGTTAACGAGGGGGCGAGGAGTCAGCTCGTTATTCCCATTGCTTAATTGACTTTTATCAAGGAGTCAATTAAGTTTTACTCCCAAAAATTGAAAGCAAGACGAAACTGTGGACCATGCTGGAAGACAAGTTTTTATTGCGACATTTCGCCCCTGTAGGAGAAAACTACTAATTTTGGTTGAGAGCATAAAAGCGGCGTCAGAATATTCACCTATTATTTCGTAGCGAGCTAATGCAGGTGGAGGTCTCTTGATCAGGGGAATTAGAGCTGCTGTCCCCTTCCACGGATCAAACCTCGTTACGTTCCAATCTTCAACCGCTGTGTGACCGATACGAATTTTGTATTAATTATGAATATAATAATAATAATAATAACAATCTCCCTCAAAGTTAAGATATTTATTATTCTCGAACATCACTTTGTTTATGCTATATAAATGACGTCTAACACATGCTACGTCGTTTTTAATACGTCTTGTTCGTTTCATAACGTCTTACCTGACGATACCATCCATTACGCTGTGAATAAGTAATGTGAGAGGAATTCTGTCTGCAAAAATTCCCTGCAGTAATATATGCATGTTGACCTTCCACTGGGCACGGAAAGCTGTTAGAGATGTCGCAGCTAATGTAGAAGTTGAGAAGAAGGAGAGAGAGAGAGAGAGAGAGAAGAGAGAGAGAGAGAGAGAGAGGAAGAGAGAGAGATGGAGAGAGAAGAGAAGAGAGAGAGAGAGAGGAGAGAGAAGAAGAGGAAGGGAAGAGAGAGATGGAATACATATAATGAAGTGGTAGCTTAATAAGAAGAGAAACTGGATAAACATGGCACACAAACAATACAATGATGGTACAATGATATAGTAAACAATACAAGAGGTTTGAGAGGCACATTACAAGTTCATGTACTTGAATGTTAAGTAATTGCATTACCCCACTGAGCTGCAGCACTGAGCCACTGGAAGAGAAAAATAGCTGCTCTGGGACCCCTAGTTGCCCTGGTGAGTCTTTTGCGCTGGATGCGCTCTTCCCATGAGAATTTCTGGACCTATGAGAACAAACATATAATGATGAGTTTAACTATATTTTCTAGCATTCTGGGACTCCATGAACTTAGCAGCTGCCCCTCCTTCTTCCCTTCTGTAGTGGAGATAGATATCAGCCAGTATCGATGCACATGCGCAATCCCACATCATTTCCTTGCCGTCTGTCCAGGCGTGCAGGGTGATTCCAGCTATCGGATCTGCATAGTTGGGATGGATTCCTTATTGATGGACGCTCAGCTGTTGCATGATGTTTATAAGCTCTTCATACCTTGCAGTCTTACTCTCGGATCTACGGCAAACGTGACCATAGTACCCGAATTGGTCTACCGATTCATTGCCGCAGATACAACTGTATTCGGCGAGGATATGGGTGGCAAGGCAATGAGGATGGT